TAGAATACATCATATATATAAGTAATCATAACAGTAATTACTATAATTTTAATTATTATAATAATATTAATTATCATAATATATTATGATAATTATTAATAAATACATATATTTATACATGTATATATATAAATATATATGTAATAAGGTGTGATGGCGCTATTGGGTATACCCTATTAATTGGTGTCCACCTTTATAGCTGATCCCACGAAGACCCACGACTGGTCGAGTGGCGTACAGCTGCACCCCTTTCAAGTTGGTCATTTCAGAAAGTGCTCAGGGATGTACAGAGGGTCCACCTTATCCAAGCCGCAGGCGGACATGGGAGGTGAACACCTTCCTGAAGGGCATGATCGACAAACCGTCAAATGATCGACCTATTGCACTAAGGATGATCTTTGCCTCTCATAATGTTTATCTACGTCTTCATGGATGAGATCAGTGCTCCTAGATTCCGCTCAGTTGCCGTGTAATGCAGTGAGACGTAATTCACCTGGTAAAAAGAGCCATGTCGTCTCTCGTCCCAAACGCATATCTGTACACTTCTGGATTGACCGGGAGTTCCCACAAATCCGCCCAGTGAAGTAGCTTGTCCAAGTTCACTTGGAGGGTACGGTGGTCCTCCGTTGTTCTCATGACTCGCCATAATTTCAAACCGTCCGCGTAGAGCATGCAAGTCTATTGTAACCGGGGGGGAATGTAATTCACGTATGGGAAAGGAACAGTGCCGAGCCTAGAACGGAAGTCTGTAACACCCGACATTTAGTTTGGGAGACTCTCACGGTGACTGTTCGTCGTACAAGGAAATCCTCGATCCAGGGAAACAGTGTTTTCCGACACTGTGAGCCTTCAAATTCTCCATTATCCGTGCGAGATTTCATTGGAAGCCTTTCTAAAGTCAATGAATATTACGTCCGTTTCGTGGTCAGCGGCCTTAGCAAATGTCCATTGCTCCCGAGCAGGTAGTAAGTTTGACACACAATCGCTGCGGTCGTAATCCGTGCCTTTCCAGAGAGAGAAGACTATCGGTCAGTAGGTGTTCTCGGAATTGCCTGGCGAGAACCCATTCCAGCGGTTCGTGGACTTTCTGAGTCGGAGCTAGTGCGTAAGCTCAGTGCGCTTCAGCGTGATGTAGAAGAGCAGTGGAAGCAGATTAGGTGAGCAATGCATTCCGCAGCGAATATTGCTTGTGGGTCCGGATCTCAAGCCCGACGGAGCCATTGGATATCTCATGATTCAGTAGTTTTGATGGATAATAAACGATAAATCCCGACCTGGCAGGATCAAAATAGATTTAGGTGGCATCTACAACGTCAGATCACGAAGAGCCACAAGGAGGACCGTAAGAACTGGTGGTGTAGTGACAATATTTTCATTTTCCAACACCATTCCCCTGACAGATGTAAAGACCTTATTTTGTTTTCAGTGACTGCTTCCCACGATCCACATAATCACCAAGGAACAAATAGTTACCTTCCGGAGGAAAAGCTCCATATTCAAAGAGCCGAAGCAGATCGTAATACTGTCCGTGGATATCACCGCAAATTTTCAATGGAGCTTCCAATTCCAGCAGAATCAGTTGACTGAGGAAGATCTCACGGGATTTGAGGCAAAGACCTTGAATTTATCCTTCGTTCAACTGAACGTTTTTGTGCGGTCGGATGCGCCGGACTTCTAAGAGTCTACCGATGATACTGTCGATATTCAGTTTGTCGTCTCCCGCCATCACGAGTGCAAATTAGAAGCGAAACCGCGTTGAAGATCGCACTTCCTGGAACGAGCGTCCTTACCGGATCGGGGAACGCGGACCCGAGGAGTGATGTGTGCGGAGAAGAGGCCACTTCTATTCTACCGTTGGGCGCCTTTCGGGTTTTGGCCGGCCAGGTCTTTTTTCTGGTTTGCCCCGACCAGTTTTCTTATTGACCAGGCAACCCGCGTGGACGGCCCCATACACCCGGCAGAAGATACACCATTGTGCCGGCGATAATGGGGCTTCGAGCGAACCACTCTACGTCTTGTAGTCCTCCTCTTCTCTTCAGCGCACGATACAACTCACCGGAAATTGTGTCCGGTTTGAGGTCATATGAGTTCTCGAAACGGAGGGCAATAAAACAAAATAGGGTCTTTACATGTGTCAGGAGAACGGTGTTGGAAAAAGAAAATATTGTCACTACAGTGGACAACAATAACTAGTGAAATGGAAGTAGCAGCTGTTTCAGGGAATAGTCAAAGACTGTTCCGACTGATACGCAATACGGGAGGTCGGCAAACCCCAGTTAGTGAAACAGTCTGCGATAAGATGGGACAATCTATTAACAATAGGGATCAACGACTTAATCTCTGGGCGGAATACTTCAGCGAACAGTTCAGCTTGCCTAGTGCTAACCAAGTTGCTTCGTCTGAGACTGAAGCTCCTTGAAAAGTGTAATGCGACCCTCAAGCAGAAGCAGATCGGTTTTGCATTCAAGCTCTGAAACGAGGGATGAGGATGAGCTCCCTTTCCCTCTTTTCAAGGTGGGGGTGATAACCTCGTAAGCTGTATTACTGCCCTACTGCGCAACATTTTGAAACAAGAGCACATTCCTTCATCTTGGGGCAAATCACCGATCGTTCTCATTTTTAAGAAAGGATCCCGCAACGATTGGGAAAACCACCGCGGGATACGTTCGATCCTGATCGTCACCAAAGTATTAGCATCGGTCATACATTGATGTCTGACGCCTTTAAGAAAGACCAACATACGTGAATAGTAAGCCAGATTCTGATCTGGCTGGGGATGGATTGATCAAATTTTTACGTTGCGTCAGGTCCTCGAGCTGCGTCCCACCCACCGTCGGCCAACGATCGCAGTGATCCTCGACCAGAAAGGAGCCTTCGACCCAATTCACCGTAAGGCCCTGATGGGTTCCCTTATTCAAAAAGGAATGCTCCAGAAGTACTTAACTTACTGTACTCACATACCTCCGGTCGTGTAAGGGTTTACAATTAACTAAGTGGGCCGTTGATCACCAGCAGCTGCGTTCGTCAAGAGTGCCTTCTTTCGCAGTTCCCATTTGTCGTAGACAAAGTACTAGAGAACGGACTAAGCGGACTCCAAAACGTAGGTATTGAATGGGTAGGTGAAGAAAAGTTGTGATTTATAGTACACCAATAAAATCATCTGTCTTTTAGAATGTATGGAGGACGCGCTAAGCAGACTGGATAGACTAACAAGTGCTGTTGCCACATTCAGTATTTACTTTGCACCTTGAAAGTGCAAAGTGATGCTGTAGGACTGGGTTTTACCCAGTCCCACTCTGAAACTAAATGACCAGGAATAAGTTGTGGTAGATTACTTTTCCTACTTCGTTAGTTGCGTGACTAATGACATTAGCTCAGCAAAAGAGATAGCCGCCCTCATTTCCAAGGCTCGAGCAGCAAACGCAAAACTGAAACACCTTTGGCGTAGATGCGAAGTTTTACTGAAGGTGGCCAGGGCACGTATCGCGTGTGGCCAGATACCGTCTACCACATCGCACCTTATTAACTGTAGATTATCCGAGCTGGAGGATATCACTGGAGGTCAACAGATGACGTGGAGAAGAGATATGAAGAAATGCACAGAGCCATTAAGTAAATTAGATGTTTCTCGCCTTCCAGGTTGGGATCCGAAAGACTACACAACCGGTTGGTTGGAGACAGTGAAGGATATGGCAGCGAACCGACAAGTGGCGTTCTTGTTATCGTTTCTTATCAGGTCAGAATGCTTGAAACGGTCTGTATGCAGAGTTCTATTGTTGACCATAGAGGTTCATCTTCTTCTCAACCCCCCCTCCAAAAAATGGTCCTATCCCTGTCCACCTTCAATACTACCACCAACCTTGTATGCATTGCGAGTTTGGCAGCGATTAATGAAGTTCGCCTCACTGTACTTCGCTGTACGAGGATGATGATGATTTTCCATTAGTCATCACCAGTCATGCAGGTGAAAATGATCGAACGGTAGTTGGTAGGGTTCCCCTAGACTCCTCCCTCGAGGAAAGAGCGTACAATCGCGGTCTTCCACTCAGCAGGCAGCCTTCTGACGGCTAATCATTGATCAAAGAATGCGGCCAGTGTGAACAATGACTGGTGCCAGTTCTTTCAGGATGATGCACTCCACCGGGATTCGTAGATTGAAACGGTTTCAAAGCTCTGGGCGCTTCCACGAGCTCCTCCACTATGATGGCTTGATAGATCAGGGGTGGCTCTGTAGACTACAGTTGAGGGCTCAGGAAGGATCAGTAGCGTAGACTGACGAGTAATGCTACGCGAATGCTTCCTCCATTCCACCGTTCGTTTCCAATAGGGCACCGTGGTATTGCAGGGCCGAGATATAGGCCGTTACCCGCGTTCGACGTCGGAGGAAAGCATAGAACTGTTTTGGCCCGGTGGTTGTTTCAGCCCCCGAAAACTCCTCATACCTCCTTCACTTGATTGACTCTCTTTCAGAACGGGCACTGAATAGTGACTTATGCATGTAGCAACTGCCGCTTTGCATGCCAAAAGCTTTCCAAACGCGCGTCCGGTGCTTCAGAATTTGGCGAAGTTCGCGGTCAAACTAGAGAGGCCCTAATGTCAGCTAACGCGAAGAGGCGTGCTAAACATGACCAAACTTGAAATGTTGAAACTTTATCAAAACGCTACCTCATTCAAAATTGCCGTTTAAATTAACCAAAGAGTTGACAAAATTAGCAAACCTTAACTGATTTTGTATTCCGCAGATAGCTTGAAAACAGCAAATCAAAAATATTTGATTGTTGCTCCTTTTATGCGTACATAAGCAAGCGGACGCCCAGGAAAATCAGTTAATTGATGATTGCTGTTTCTCAAATTCCTGCCTCCTTTAGCCGTTGTTGCTCCGTGGACGAAATATGTTAGCTGATGCGGCGAATCAGGAAGATCCAGTGACATCAAATGGAACTAATCGCATATCAAGGATACAATGGATGGAAGGAACANGAACAGTGATTAACTCTTGCATGGGTAGACGAAGAGTAAACTGTTGTGGTGTCTATCCAGATATTGTGATAGAGCGCTCGATATCTTCCCCTTTGAATTCATCCACTTCTTCGTCTTCCTCCTCATCGTCGGAAGAGGATGAGGATACACACGAGATTCCCAAAGCTTATCGATGTTCCAGACATTGTTGTGGTCATCCTATTGTCACATTTCCACAGACGGTACAAGATCAACCGGAGAGTAATGCATCACCGAATCAATTTCGGACATCACAGTACAATTTCCGTGTAAAGGAGACCAACAAATACGATAAAAAGGAAGAAGACCGGAAGNCGGAAGAGTATCAATGAAGACCAAGCAGAATCGTTTTCTCTCGACGACTGAGAAAGCTGGTTATAAATTTAACCAAATGCAACCATCCTTAGTCCACTGTAAATCGAGTATAATAAATAATATCTTACATGATTGATTGAATGGCGTATTCCGTGAAATGATCAAAAATTAATTAGCAAGGTTGATGGAGTTTAGTTGAAGAGCATAAGAATAATGTAACTTTTAATGATTTCGTGAAAAATAAGAAAACATTGACATGAATTATTAGGTTGTAACAACACAGATGAGCTAAAATCAGATTTGTGACATCACCATTCGTTGCCACCAAATTAATGATTCCTTAGGTATTATTCATTAGACAAGTTTTCGATCAGCCGCCCCAAAGTAACTCCGTTAATCACTGATTACAAGCGTAGTGACTTCGGAACAACTGACGAGGGACAAACAGATTATTGCTAAAAGGAAAGGAAGGTTTAGTAAAAGGTCATTCTATGTACACGATGCAAAACAGTTTTCAATCAACTAGATTAGTCATCACCACAAAAAGAAAACAGAAAACCTTTGACGTTGGAGGACAACGCTATCGGTTATGATATTTTCCCAACCGTTTGGTAGGTATCTTAAACCTATGAATGGGACATCACCAGTCGAGTCATCTAGGGCACTGATTAAAGTGAAATCTAGTTGACTCATCGTTTTCGTCGCACTATTTTAGCCGCGTAACCAGTAGAAAGATAATCGACATTGACTCAGCCGGTAAGCGGGACATTGGGCAGAATGTTAGGTCTCCAATCGGTCGATAGTTACTATTACATTGACCAGCTGGTGTGAAAGGTTGAACGACAATCGCAGCAGTCGTTCCTAAGGCATCGACGAAATTGGGTGGGTTGTTAGCCAAAGATCATCATAACCTGGATCTAAATTACTCCTTACTGTGTGGTCAATATACTTATACCGAGCAAATCACGCTTTACGCTTGATCAGTCGTCGAGGTGATGAATAACAGCGGCACTAATGCTGATCAACCCTGACCATGACATAAGTATCGCTCGGGTTCGGTATACACTGGCAAAAGCAAACGAAAGAATGGACAAATGGATGTTCGCAGAAACCATGATACACAGTCCTAATAAGAAAAACATGGAGAGAAAGCATAGTGAACAATACAAGCATAGAATATTGAAAAGAGTTAATATACCACTAGTACCCAGTAGCAAGTTTGATTTGTTTCCGATTGTGTGGTTGTTCTTTAATGCAGTTTCTCTAAGGAATTCAGCATTAAATCCCGTGTATACGATGTAGTCTTAGTCGTCAGCTGTGCCCAAATTTCGTAACACTCTCCGAGTTAGATTATGGTGGAGCCCATGTACTCGTTTCGGTGGTCCCCTTCATATTACAGCTGAATGAGACAATATTAAGAGCTGAAATTTCGTTTCGTTGTAACAAACTCTTCCGAAGGAAAGGTAGGTAGTTTC